GATCATGGATATTTATTATTATATTATTATTGATAATTAATAATCAATAATTAATTTAATATTTATAATAAATTATTAATAACATAATTTGTAAACTAATAAATTAAGAAAGGGACAAAAGCATCCAAAAATGTTTCTCGGAGATCCTCCCATTTTAATATAGTATAGATATATATATACACACGAAAACAAAAAAGGGAATTGAGTGAAGATGTGAATCTAGGTCAAAATCACTTCTAGTTATTTAAAATATAATATCTAGTGAATCTACTTATTTAAAATAGAATATTTAGTAAAGATATTTTAGAAAATCCAAAACCACTCTAATCCTCCGTGGTCAATCACTTTGAGGTAATTCACTAAGTGATTTTTTACCAAAGAGTTAATAAAAAAATTAATTTTTAAAATGGTTATTGTTTTAATTTTCAAAATTGTGTTTCTATTCACTTTATTTTTCACCTTAAATTTGAAAAGAAAAAATTGTTTTTCAAAAATTTTAGTTTTAGTCTTTGTTTATTCTCTCTAAATTGTTTTTCTTTGAAATTTTTGTAATATCTCTCTAAAATTTTAATTATCGTCTTTTTTTTTCTCGCATAACATCCTATATACGGAGATGTATCTTCAATTGTTGTGCACGTAGCTAGCTCCTCTTAATATTAAGCTCTTAAAAAAAAAAGTAAATAGTTATTTAAATTCACAACGGTTATGAATTTAATTATTTAACTATTAAATTCATAATTAAACCACCATTACAAGTTTCTTTTTAATATTTACCAGTTTTAAAGGGATACGACACCTATTATCATCCTTAAAAAATTACAAGTAATTACATGCTCCGAGGTAAATGAAGTCTGCTGTTTTTTTCTTTTTTCCTTTTGTGGTGGTACGTTCCAATCTTTATACCTCATATTTGCAAACAGAGTGTACTATCAAGGGCTTCTCCATGAATTTTTCAAGCAGCTTGAAAAAAAAAATATATATATATATATATATATATAGTTTTCCCAAAATTATATAGAAATTTTAAAAATAACTAAATAAATTTCTGGTTTATTTTTCCTCATTTTAGTTTTCCCAAAACATAAATAGAAATATTTTCTTATACTTATAAAATGCATAACAAATCTTAAAAAATAAATATAAGGTACAACGTTTGAATATTTAATTTAAATTAATTTTCATATGAAAAGTTGTTTTTTAATTTAAAATTTTAGAGAACAATAAACAAAAAATTGTTACCAAATATATTAAAAAAATTTTAATTAAAAAAATAAGAAATAAAGACAGTTACTAAAAACAATTTTGTTTCTATCAAACAACAAACAAAAACAAAACAAAAATTGAGCACCTTACCAAAACTGAAGTAACTTTAAATCTTTTAAATTTTGGACATTAAGAGTTCGTTCCTGTTTTCGTTTTTTGTTTTTAATTTTATTAAAATACCTAAACTTTTGACAAGCTATTTATATTTCTTGTTTTTTTCATTTTTAGAAACAATCTCAACAAATTTTGGAAACAACGAAAACAAGTTTTTTCTTCCCGTTTTCAATCTATCTCAGCATAAATAAAAATTTTGCTTTATCATTCTTGAATCCATAGTGTTGAGTCTCATGTAATTCTATTTTTCTTTACTAACAAAAAGAAAATGAAAACAAATGAACAATAAAGTTACCAAACGAGCTCTAGTATACTAAAAAGAGCTTGGAACATCGACATGTCAACTATTCCGAAAAGTGTTTCCAAAACATCCAAAGATGTAGATAAAGATAAATAGTAATTTTCACATCCATGCTGTAAAGTGGACGATGGCAAAAAGTTATCAAGTCAGACTTAGTATAGTTTCATTTTTTTTTTCTTTTTTTTTTCCAATTATGAAGTGAAAATGTGAACCTTTATATAATCTGTAAAAAATGTTATTAATGTTTGAACCGTTAGGCCAAAACATTAAAAAATAAATTCTCTTACTTTGTCAGAGAAAGCTACACAAAAGGATATTGTGATCCTGTTTTGAAACATTTGTTCATCATACTATTGATATCTTAGGGAAAAAAAATATATTAAAACTCATTAACCCACCTAATTTACATGATTGATAATTGAAGGATGATGAACAGATGACGAGATCGGATCATTTTTACAGGCCACTACTACATTAGATATTTTTGTTAGTACAGTGTGTAAGAACGGAGATTCGAACTCACAGCATTTTGATTGAACACGTTTCTTGACGAGTTATGTTCAAGTCGGCCTTCAACTTTCTATTGTTTTTTTTTAATAATAAATGAAAAGATAACAGAAGCCCACTTAAACAGAAAACACATTAAACCAAAACAACCTTCTATTGTTTGATTCAACATTAATTTAATTTCCCAAATTATACCTTTGGCCCTCTTCACAACAAGGAGGTCGTTAATTTAATTATATTGGACCTTGAATCATATCATATTGTCTATTAATCTATTTTTTTACTTCGACTGATTACTAGACTTTCTATCAATCATATATGTACCATATCAAATCTTTTAATTTCAAAGAAAGATAAATCATTTGGAAGGATTGTTCAAAGTTATATGAATTTTTACCGGGACTTCATATTCAACTCTAGACGAGACAATTTTACTTAGAATCATTGTAACTCTAGATGAGGCAGTTTTACTCGTTTGTAAAATGGTGAAAGGTTGATTTGTTATGAATTTTTTACTTTTTATGTTAATAGGGAGAAAATAGAGATCATAATAAACAACAGAAAGAGGAAAGAAAGTCGAAGAAGGAGCGGACCCGAAGAGAGGTAAGTGGGTCGAGGCCCAGTAACCCGGGTCGACGCCGAGCACTACTCGACGTCGACGAGTTCTCAGCCTAGTGGCCAAGAACCTCTCTGATGCACCCCAACCCCGTGCAGCCCAATCCGAGTCGACTTGGTTTCGGCCTTAAATGCAGCATGAGGCCCACTCCATATATGATAGGTATTTCAATGATATAAATATAATATCTACTGATATAATTTCTTATATATGATTTTATGATTTACAACTAATATAACATTGATATATATTTAATATATATTTAATGTGATTCTAATTTATCATTGATATACCTCTGATATAACCATGATATCTACTAATATAACTATGATACATGTGTATTGATATAATACTATTATATCAACTATTTTTTCATATGATGTCAATGGTGCAAAAAAAAATTGAAATATAAAGTTATTATATAAAAGGTTTATGTGAATCATGCATGTCAAAAAAAAATGTTAAAAAAATTTGAGGTACATCAGATATATATATATATATATATATAGATTATAGGTATAATACATACATCTAATAATGTATACGATAGGTACATCTGATAATGTATATCAGGAGTATATTGGATGTACATCGAAAGTATATTAGAGGTACATCAAATGTATATTGTTGGTTACGGTTTAGAACCCGTTGTGCAAGTGTACACAACCGTTGTAGCAAGTGATAAAAAGATCGTCTCCACAGGGATTGATAATTAAACAGTTCAACAATTACTTTTGAAAATAAACAAATTAACAAAATATGTTTTAAACAAGAAAAACTAAAGGAACTCAAACAAAATAGTGCATGTATAATTTGCTGAGTAAAAACAAGTTAGAACCAAGCAAAACCAAATCGATTAAAGGAAAATATGTAAACAAGAGGTTAATTACTAATATTTAAAAGGGTAAGGAGGGAAGAGTTTGTGTGACTTTTTCTGGGCTACTCTAACGATGCTGTAGCATTAACGATGTTGAAATACTGGCCAAACAGACACGAAATCTTTCCAGATTTCCAGATTTTCTGCTATTCATGTTTTTAAACAAACTTGACAGCATATATACTCAATTTATAACCTTGCTAGGTGAGCCTTATTCTTAAATACTCACGCTCTAAACTCAAGTAGATCTAGCACGAGTTGAAGTCAAACATATCCTATTACAATTTTCCAAGAGTTAATAAGAAGATATTCCAATATGTTGGCCAAGCACACTGAAAATAAAACGTTAAAAACAACTTCAGTATATATATATATATATATATATCATCATTAAAGCCAAAACAAATTTTATAGCCCAAAAACAAATTCACAACATCCTCCCCCTTACAAATAAACTTAGCTACTTAATACCATACAAAAAAAAAAGAGAGAGAGAATACAAAACTTGTGCACCAAAGAGTGCAAAAGAAGAAGAAAATGAAAAATAACAGCAGCCCTTCTCTCTTTGTTGTCTTCTTCAACGGTTTCATTGGGAGCTTTTTTCAAGTGAGAGTGAAGTGATGGGATGGAGAATGTTGGAGAGTTGTTGGAGGCAACCATAATTGTAAGCTTTTATACCCCCTTGATTTTAGCTCAACACAAATGATAAAGTGGCATCCAGCTCAGCATAATAGGCATTTTTCTGTTTTACTGCAGTAATTTTTCGAGTAAAAGCTGTAAATGTCAACTCTGTCTTTTTCTACCTTTTTGACTCTGATGCTGCAACATCAACAATGTTGTAGCAAAACATTAAAAATTAGGTCATTCTTCATAAAACTTTCAACATCATCATCAAAAATAAGGAGGATAGTGAATTTATAACATTGTTGGCACAAGATAAGTGTAGATAGGGTGTTAGCGATGCTATCCTTAGCTAATTTATATGAATTCTTGCACAAATAACTCTCTTTTGAAGAGTTATCATATATCATATATAGATTGAATGTATATCAAATACAGATATACATTGGATGTATATCAAATATTACAAGGGTAAAATCGAAATAATAAAAATTCTGAAAATAAAAATTCAAATATTTTACTATATTTAAAATTTTGAAAAACTTGTGACATTTTCTGAAATACATAAATTACAGTTATCCATTTTATTATTATTATTATTATTATTCTCTTTTATCATTAAGCAGCAATTTATTGTATTTCTGTCCCATCCTCACTGTTTCTATGGGCTCTAAGGTGAACTTTTTATTTATTGAATTTTTTTATTTTTTAAGATGCAGTATTAATAGAAAGTGTAAATGAATGAGAAAAAGTAGTCAATTATTGTCCAAAAAAATCTTTGTTACCTTCTTACGAATAATGCTTTTATTAACATCCTTTAACCTTGCATAAATATTTTATAATCCAAGTGCTAACAAAGTTAATTTACTTGTTTTAAAAAATTAATTCAAGGTTGAAACCTCTCCATCCCACTTATATTTAAAAGAAAAAAAATATTTATATTTTTTTAATTTCTTCTCACTTTTCACTTCTATCATTGCCACTTGTCCCCATCCCCACTAGAACCCCACTTTTAGACGTTGTCCAAGTGAATTGTTGATTATATATACACAAATTGAAAAGAAAGTACATATATTTGCAAAAGTAGACTACTTTCTTTTCAATTTGTGATATTTTGATTGTTAAATACTATTTGTTTATGCAAGGAGTTCCACGACACAATTCACAAATCTAATTCGAACCCGGTCTCCGACCTGACTTGAACCTTGGAGTGAACTTGCACAAGAGGACAAACTCCCCGATCCTCAAATCAGTATAGGTCGGACTCAATATTAAGTTCGAGGTGAGATTCGATACCTGAGCGTGAAATGAGGCCCTCTATTTAAAGGTGGTGGGTCCGACAGCACTCTCAACCGGCGGTTATCCCTGTCTTTTGTCATGTCGAATTTGTCGGGTTTGAGCAGGTCGAACCCTGGCCTTTACACTTAGCCTTGTATATGGATAAATTGGGTCTTCTCAAGTTCGAGGTGGACCTGGAATATTCTTTTATTTCTAAATACCACTGAGCGTCCTCCACGTGTCTACAATATTTTCATCCCCAAACACTATTTTTTTTGTGTGTCTATATATATGTTTCGTCAATATCTATAACATCATTCTCGTTTGTCTCTTTTTTTTTATCTATGAGCCATTAATTTTCATGTATTCGTCTTTTTTTAGCAGAACACATGGGAACATAGTTTTCTTAACCTGCTGARCTATGTTTAAATTGGTATGTATTTATCTATTTAAAAATGTGAAAAAGTTGGAAGCTCTATTAAGTTCGCCTTAACTTAATTGGTTGAGGTCATTTATTGACCAAAATATTTAAGTGAGGGAAGCTTTTGAGTCAGAATATTAGAGAATTATATTCGTTGATTCAACTACCCATGAGGACCCTCCTTGTTATAATGCACTTTCTTTTTTAAGTAGAGCATTCAAGTTAGAATATATCTCTACAACAATAATTTACCCTAAATTCGAGCAATTTTATGCCAATTGAAAGCAACTAATTTACGTTATAGCACTGAATTATTGTGTTTGATTAACAGTAAACTCGTACAAAGTGGCTCTAAAAAAGAATAGAGGTAGAAAAAGTTAGGATTCCTACCAAAAGATTGATTATTTGTTAATGAATTTCATTGAACACTAATTGTTATATGGATATATATTTTTAACTAAGTCTCGTGTGTTATGCGTCCCCTTTTCATATGTAATATGTTTTTAACTCGTGTATTTGTGATGATTTTAGTATTTTGAATCGAAACACTTTTTTTCGTAAGCAGTTTAAGATAAAATACTAGTTAAGCGCTTGATTGTTAATGATATGATATTGAGTATTAAGATTGACTATCTCACGGAGTGCTCATTTTGTAATAAATTTATGAGTAAAAGTTGGTCTAATTTAACCGATTCGAGGTCTATTTGAATCATGTGTGACACAAATCAATCAAAACCATAGTAAAATCAAACATTTTCAACTAAAGCAAACATAGCTCAACGGTAATTGACATATATGGTTGTGAGTTCGATCCCTACCTCCGTACGTTGTACTAAAAACTAAAAATAAAAATAAAAAAATCAGACATTTTCAGTTTGATTTACTTCTGTCATACACCTAACCTTAGTTTCAGTTCCATTT